CATTGTCTCTAAAACAATGGTTATTTTTCACAAAGATCTTTCAGTCTTCCTTTGTTTTCACTCCTGTGTTGGGCAGTGAAGATTTTGTGGAGGAGGCTGTTTGGCTCATGAAGGCCCAAAAGAAGAGTGAGGCTGCCTGGGTCAAAATCCTGGTGCTATTTGCTTTACATTGTGACCTCTCATGTCCCTTGGCCCCTAGGACCTGAACTCCAGAGTGAAGCATAGTCTTGTGGATAACAGATGGATGCTAAAAGTGCTAGAATCCAACTAATATCAAGTGAAAGTGAACTCATGCAGACAGAGATAATACTGTCTTCCGAATTGTTTTGCTCTTAAAAATATATCCAAACTTTATTTTGGCTGATGACGCAGAACACTGCAGAAAAGAAGGCTTGGTTCAACTTTCCCGGTGTTATAATAGCCCTCTTTCATATCTTTCTGAAATGTACAACTGAAGAAACATTATATGCTAATACTTCAGCTAACAATAGCTATTCTACACAGATATGTCTGATATCCACAAAGTTCCCAAAGTGGGGGTGGCAAGCTGTCTCTAGCTTGAGCAGGGTTTGAAGATTTGCATGATACAATAGGTACATGTAGCAGGAAAAAACAGAGGTGAAGTGTACAAGGAATTAAAAAAAAGAAAACCAACTTTTTCTGACAGTATCCAATAGGCCAAAGGATTGCTTGTAGATAATCATGGATTAATTGTGAATGTAAAGAAAGAGACACTTTTTTTTATCAAAGCTGTTGCCTCGGGGCAAACTCCAGCGCCACGAAAGCCGAAATGTTTTCTTTTATCACAGTTCCTTTTCTGGCACCTGAAATTATTTCTTTCATGTCTGATAGTGAAGAACGAGGCAGCATAGCTCCCCAGAGATGAGCGATTGTTACCATGGTCTCATAGCATATTGGCAGCCGATGTGGCATCCATGTACACCTGTCACTCAAGCTGAGCAAAATGCAGATGTGGCACAAAAACCTGAGCTCACTCACTCGGAAGCCTCCCCCGCTCACTGTGCACGCACTCCCCAAAACACACACATCTTCCTGAGCCCCCCTCCTTGCCAGGACGTGGCTGCTTTTCAGCCTACACATATGTGAGTGCACTCAGACGTTATCAGGCCTGTTTAATGCAATGATCCTGCATTAGCATTTCTGCAGGGCAAACACAAATAAACAGAAATGTGCTGAAAAAAAAAAAATGTTTCAAACAAATTTCTTTGCAAGTCAGGCAGAGAGAGAGGAGCCAATTTCCTTCATATGGAAGTGAACTAAGACCTTTTTAATGAAGGCTCCAAGGCCAAGGAGGGGTTGCTGGATAGATGCTTCTTTACTTTTTGATTTTTGTCAGTGTTGCTAAACCAGGCAAGGTCTTGAAAGTGTCAAAAGGCAAGCAGATAAAATTTTATGTTAATCATAGGATTTGGAACTAATCTGAGCTCCAGTAAAAGGTCCAGCATACAGGCAAATGAAGGAGACAGGCCAAGCAATTTATTCAGGAGATACTGTATCTGGTATGGGTGTGGGAAGCATCTTTAGCAAGGAATAGGACAAAAGTGCATTGGAAGAGGAAGAAAACAGCACATATGTATGGCTCTAAGGTTAACAAACATGTTGAGGTGAACTGGATTTGTCCATGTGAATGATCTGACGTTTTTGGTCAGTGAGACAGAAAGTATAATGCAAAATGTGATGTGAACCCTCTCTTCTCTCTTTTTCAAACAAATTGCCAATTTAGCTCCTGGGATAAAGTAAATAGCGCACTGCCATTTGTTTTAAAGGGAAATATGACAAGGAACCTGAATGTGTTCATCTCAAATTTGTAAATCCATTGCTTTATTGAACCATTTGTCCATTCTTATAAGCTGATTTATAATAACTGTAATGTGATTCATCATGTCATCTTGTAAATAAATGTGACACTTCATTAAACACAGTAATCAAATTTAAGCAGTCCCACTTTCATGCTAACAACTGAGACCTTTATAATTCTATTGCTCTGAAGATACTCCTACTCTAATGAAAGTAGCATCAAGCAAAGAATAAAATGGAACAGAGGTAGATTTTCAAGAGGAGTAATGAATAAATAAATATACTTTTAGTTAGTAGGCAGTAATGAAATTAGTAATGGCCTGAAATTTACTGTAGCAATGGTTTTACAAGATATTCCAGTTGGGATGTTTTATTGTCAATAAAGAATGTACAGTTTGAACATCTTGGAAAATCTGTTGTAGGGTTAACAAAATCCTTTTAGAGCCTGAATTTCAGAAAGAATTTTTTCATGCTATTTTTGTGTTTGCCATCTGGAATGACACTGCAAGCTGGCAAACACAAGAATAATGTGAGATATTTCTATCACATAGAGTTAGCTATAGATTCATCAGGGATTGTAAGCATCTGAACATCAGTCAGATACCCAGAATCATCCCAGCTCTGATCTGCTTTAAGAAATCAAGCAGTCTCTCTACTAAAATTAATGTTTGCTTTCTTTCAGGAAATGGTCATCTCCATCTGCCGAGGGATAGGTGTGCAAATCAATGAAAATTCAAAGAAGTACCCATGAGGAAGTAAGCACAGAATACAGCTTTTCTGTCTTGGTTGGGAGTGATTTATGATGTTAACAACAGCAATTCTGTGTTGTGAGCCAGATTTTCAGGTGAAGTAGATAATTGTGAATTTTCTTGGTTGAGGCTTTGGCCTAGAGTTCTTAATTATGCCCTCTATTCATCAGCTGTAAGGAAGAAGCTTATTTCCATGGCCCTCCTCTCATCCTGATACTATTCTAGAATTGAGCATGGAATTCAAGATCAGAACATTAGGGCTTTCAAGCCAGGAATGTGGGATGAAAAAGCAAGCAAGGTAGCTGGGTTTTTTTAATCAGAAATATTGGGATTTTGGTGCTCTATAAGGAAGAATCTCTGCTTCCTACTCACAGGACTCTGTTTTAACCCCAGTTAGCTGGAAGCAATCATGACTGAGAAACTGAGTTGCATTTCAGTTGCTGCCTGGAATATCAAGTGCATGAATGTGTGCTCATGTATAGCTTTACTGCTAAAGTCTGATTTAGTTTTCCAAACAAAATTGGAGTCTTATAAAATTGAAGACAGCTAAAGATAGCATTTTAAGCAGACTGAAAGAGAGCAATGGGAACTGCATGAAAGACAGTCCTCAGAAACAGAAGTGTTGAAAGGTAGTGAAGGCTGCGCTCCAAAATTAAAGAGCCCTAAATATACAGGCACGATAGAAGGTGCCAAGGAAATTCAACTCCAGTAGAAACCAGGGAAGATCTATCACTGTCTGTTAGAGGGTGCCCAGCACTTTCAAAGTTCCGTATGTTAAACATCTAACTTCATATTTCTAGTGAGAGAATGGAGGAGGGCTCTGCATTGAGAATCTGACAAGCAGAGAGGCCTAAAAGAGATGAGTGCCTGCTATCAAAAAAAAAAAAAAAAAAAAAAAAGGACAAAACGATGAAATAGCAAAGTTAGATAAAGGAAGAGAATAAATATTGTTTCAAGTGTTCCACACAGAAAATTATCCTGGAACAGGAAGACAAAGAGAATGTGCTTGAAAAATTTAATCTAAAAGAAATGAAGTCACCCTGCCTGGAAAGCTAAAACTGTCCCTACACCCCACCAAAGTTTATAGTTCAGGAACAAAGAATGGTTGGAGTGGATCTTGGAGCTCGCCTGTTGTAACATAAGCATGCTCAAGAGGAGCAAACAGGTCCTGAGATAGGGTAATAATCAGTATTTGTTAAATAAGTTGTAGCTAGGAAGCGCTCTTAACTAAATATGTGAACAGCCAATCTTAAGGAAGAGATAAAGGATGAGTTAATTTTATTTAAGCCATTCAAGAGTCAAGTCTTCAGAATGGATTTGGTATATTTGGATTGAATCTGAGAATTGTTCTCACCTGCATTGTAGCACTTTGATATACCTCATTGAGAAGAAGAGACACGTTCCCAAACCATTTCAGTTGCAGTGTTTCTAGGTATTTTTTTGAGCAATTATGTTGTAATTGTATTATTTTTTGAAAAATTGATTTCAAGATGTCTTCTATCAGCAGAAAAAATCAAGTCCAAATATTTGAAGCTTAATCCATAACCTTGGCTAGCTCAGGTGTGCCTGCCACTTGGTAGTGCTACTCATTATCATGTGGAGTATTTCTGATGCATAGGTCAGTTCTAGCTGCCAAGAACAGATGAATGATGAGAAAATATAAAGTATCTGTTGTGGAAGTCTTAGCTTGTCCTCCAAGCAGTAGCTGGATTTTGCATTGTCAGGATTTACTGTTATGTTCATATGTTCTGAAGGAGCAAAATTACTAGATGCATGTGGATATTTTATAGCAAACTGAACAATTTCCAGAATGAAATTCTACAATTCTGAGGTCCAGCTCCCTAGAGGATCCATAGCATTGAGACGGGCATGGAGATTTCCTCCAACAATAAGTTGAGAGGACTGAGACCTCAGAATGGGATCCACAATAGTAGCCATGGTGTACAGGAAAGATAAGCAATGTAGGAAGAAAGTTAGGAAATGCAAAAAATCCAATAAGGCATGGACTGCTGGGAAGTGTTTCCTCTTCAGCCTGTATGTATATACCAACCATATGAAGTTAAACAAGGGAAAGTGCCACATTCTGCCCCTTGGATGGGTCAATCCTGGATGTATGCACAGACTGGGGACCTAGATGCTGGAAAGCAGCACTGGGGAAAGGGACCTGGGGGTCCTGGCTGATGGCAAGTTGAATTTGACCAGTGCCCTGGCAGCCAGGAGGGCAAAGCCTGTCCTGGGGGGCATCAGGCACAGCATCACCAGCCGGGCAAAGGAGGGGATTGTCCTGTTCTGCTCTGAGCTGGGACAGCCTCACCTTGAGTGCTGGGGGCAGTTTTGGGTGCCACAATATAAAATATTAAACTATTAGAGAGTGTCCAAAGGAGGGCTATGAATATGGTGAAGGGCCTTGAGGGGGAAGCTGTATGAGGAGCAGCTGAGGTTACCTGGTCTGTTCAGCCTGGAGGACCAGAGGAGGACAGGAGGACTGAAGGGAGAGGAGACTGAAGGAAGACCTCATTGCATTACAACTTTCTCATGATGGGAAGAAGAGGGGCAGGCACTGATCTTGTGTCTGTGGTGACCAGTAACCAGAGGGAATGGCCTGAAGCTGTGTCAAGGAAGCTTTAGTTTGGGTTAGAAAATGATTCCTTACCCAGAGTGTGTCTGGGTACTGAAGCAGGTCACAGCACCAGCCTGCCAGAGTTCAAAAAGCATTTGAACAATACTCTCAGGGATGTGGTGTGACTCTTTAGTCTGTTCTGTGGAGGCCCAGGCATCGGACTCCTTGTGAGTCTCTTCCAAGCCAGCTTATTCTGTGAAATTTGCTTTTTCAGCAGTACAACTATTTACTTCATGTATTATGCCTAGTAGTTAACATACTTGGGCCAGATATAACCTCAGATTTAATTTCTTCTTCAGTCTCAGGGTCTCTACAGAATCACAGAACTGTTGGGTGGGAAGGGACTTCTTCTCTTATCTTGCCTAACCCCTTTGTTCAAGTATGGACCTCAAACACAAGTTGCCCAGGACCAAGTCCAGCAGGGCTTTGAATATCTTAAAGAATGGATACTCCACTACCTGTTCACACAAACTCTGTGAAAGTTTTGCCATCCTCACAGTACAGAAGTGTTTTCTTGTATTCACATTGAGTTCCCAATATTTAAATTTATGCCCATTGCCTTTTGTCCTCTCACTGGGCACCACCCGTAACAGTCTGACTCTGTCTTTTTCACTCCTGTCCATTGGGTATCCATGTCTCACTTGATCTAGGAATCCTAGAGCTAGACAAAGAAATCCAGTGTGTCTCTCCAGAACTGAGCAGAGGGGAAGCTTAACCGTTTTTGAGCTGCTGGCAGCACTCCTTGTACTGCATTCTGGGATGCTATTGGCCTTCTTTGCTGCAGGGATCATTACTGGCTCATGGTCAGTTTGCTGTCCACTGGGATCATCAGTCATCTTATCATGGTGTATTTCAAATTACATGGTCTGGGTATGACAGCAATAACCCTCTTCTGGCAGTGTAGGGGGCAGGCCTGGAGTAGCAGCTTTTATACTGTGTGGATATTTCTCCATTGTAGGACCAAGGAGCATACACTATTTTTCCCAGGATAGTAACACAGCTGAAGACAATCTTAGCTGAACCCATGAGATATGGCATTGTTACTGTCATCACAGACAAGAATGGATATACACGCCTTCTTGTTAAACAGACCAGAATGGCATCAAAGATTTTTTGAGATGCAGTTAATGCTGCTGAATGGAGTTTAGCTGTGTCCAGCAAAGTGCCACAAGTAGTCTGGGTGGAGAGCAGCTAAAGTGTGCTTATTTTTTGCTTTTGCATTATATGTTGATGGATTTTACCTAAAAGCTCCCAAGGTACTCTAATTCTTGGAAACTTTAATTATTAAGTGACCAAAAGCCCTCTTAGTACCTGCCATGGTGGTGGCATTCAGAGCAATCCATGTGGGGCTAATTTTTATGGAAGAGCTGATCTATAATAGGGCAGGACTTCCAATTCTGCAAGAAATGAGGGCTGAATGGACAATACTCATTAATTTGTGACACATGAGAAGAAAAATCTGGAAAAAGAAAATCTCATGGGTTTTCTCTTTAGTTCTAGAAAAAATGGAGAAGTCAAGACAGCTTTAAAAGAGTCAGTGTATTTCAGAATCACATCCCAAATGTTAAGGAGTGCATAGTCCCTGTCAATGTGCCATCCTAGTTGTGGTAAAAAGGTGATGTCCATTTTTTGACAAATAGTTTCCATTTTCATTTTAGAACAGATTTCTAATCTAAGATGGAGAGACAAGGAAAATGAAACACTTCATATCAATCTGTACATATAAAGGCATCTTTATGTACCCTCTCTACTTGAAGAGGTAAAGTCAACATTACACCTAATGCAAAGCTTTGACAAGGTTTCCATTGGTTTGCAAATAACTTGTTTTCCTTCAGTGTTTACCTGGCCTCTCCAGTAGTGCCAGAAAAATTCAGCAGATAGCAAATCTTTACAGAGTGTAGCCTGTTAGAAAAACAACCCCATCTGACCGTCTCCAAAGGAACTTTGGGTGGGGGAAAAAAGGTATTAAAACATCCAATATGCTTACTTTTCAATTTTTTGTCTTTGATTTATCCTTATGCAATTTAGAGGTCAAAGATATAATTCCAGCTCTCATAACAAACGAGCTAAGTCCACCAGTTTGGGTGATACAGCTTAAGGAAGCTAAGTATTCCTGTTTGTCCAGGAAAAGGGGATGTAGAACAGAGATGTGGTAAATAACAGGATCCAAAAAGTCCACATATTAATAATGAAAGCATTAGGACACACTTATTTTGTTAGCTTTTCTTTTTTTCTTTTATCTAACTGCTAACTAACTGCTAACTTCTCAACTTCTGCACTCATCTTGATGTTCATTAAACCAGTGACTGGCACTATTCCATGTCTGGCTGTCAAAGTGCAAAGAAATATAGTCATAGGCTGACTGAATATGCATGATGCTGTCAAGCATTGCTACTTAGTGGCATTAATATTGCTATCATTTATTGTTTACATATTTAATGACCTTATTGCTATTAGACACTGTTAGTACAACTAATTATAAGACAATAAACATAATTTATGAACAATTTATAAGGAAATATGTAATAAGTGATTAGTGACAATACCTGAAATAGTTGCAGTTTTTTGTGTGTGCATGCCATAGATGATTTTAGATTGATATTATTGTCATATAAATCTGTTTTGACACTCTTAGATATCAGAAAGTGACCTATATAGAACCATTTTTGTCTTCAGCAGAGAACTGATCAAAGCTATAATTATGGTGTGATTGCATTGGTTTACCTCTAGTTAGTGAAAAAAAATAGTAAAGAAAAAAGAAAATTAAAAATCTCTCATAAATCATATTTTTCAGGTTCTGACAGCTCTAGTTTTTTGTCTGACGGCACATTATTTCTTAAGCTAGAACCTGAGGGGTTATAGGCCATATTCTAAGAGGCATTGATCATCTTTTGAGTATCCTTGGCTTTTAGGATATGACCCATCTTTCCAAAAGGAAATCTTTGTCCAAAATATTAATTTTGTAGGCTTTAAGTGCCTAAACTCACTTTGATAGTAGCTCAGTGCTGCAGCTTTGGGAAGCACTGCAGATTTGATGTCAACCACCTGAAATCTGAAATAGGAATAACGGCAGTGACTCTTACTCCTGGGTCAGGTCAGGGTCGGCTGTCTCAGTGAGGATCAGGACAATTTGCAAAAAGAGCTTTTGGAAGCATGCCACAGGTGAGCTGTCTCTCCATGTCCTGTTCTTGCACTCTCCAGGACATGGGCATCCTCTCTCTAAGCCCATGGGACCCGCAGGAGTCTGCCTGCACCCTCTGCTGTCCTGTGTCCTGCCTGTGTGACCACATTTGCAGCACCAAGTCCTCTGTGGGTTGCAAAGGTCATGGGAGAAGGAGAGAAGCCTTTGTTCTGCTGGCAGGACTGAGGCACCTGGTTCAAAATTGTCTCAGAAATGACACTAGGAACAACAGACTGGAATTCTTCATAGGCATACCCAAAACAGCTTCCCCACCAATGTTCACAGCTTTAATCTTCTCAGCTGCAGGTAGTGCTGGCTAGGAAAAACTATGTATTTCTCTGTATAATGGTATGATTAAACACTAGTCTTTGTAAGGGAAACTGTAACTTTCACCATAAACACTGTACTTTTTGAGAAAGGTACTTCTTCAAGGAAGAGGAGAAACTCTTAGCAGCAACCTGCACATGTAAATAATAAAGGAAGAAGGACTGATCCTGTCAGTCATTCCACATTTCCTACTTGTAGCTGCTTGCACAGATCTGGTTTTTAATGTACCTAAGCAGGAGTGGTGACCTGTGGGAAAGTCCAGAGAGCTGTATATTAGGATTTTTTTAAGGGTTTTCTTTTCCGCCTTTCCTAACAGCAGAGTGACTAGGACTCAGGATTTTATTATATAGGAAAAAGTTCTGTAACTACTGAAATCAGGGTCTGTAACACAGCCAAGGTATTAAAGTGTCTTTATATTGGAAGTGGGGGAGTGAAGTTATAGAGCAGAAGTCTTTTTAAACAAATGCACTTTATCAGCAAAGAATTCTATCTCCAAGATCAATGCTAAGAATCAAAAGAAATAGAAGGAGAAAGAAATAAAGGAGAAACACAGAATTAATAGATGACCAGGAAATGAAAGAATAGAAGGAGAACAGAAAAGGAGCACAGAGCTAGTATTGAAACTGAATGGAGAGAGCACAAAATGAAAGATATAATAAGGGCTTATTTTTGTACTGACATGAAAAATTCATCTTGGTGGATTTACAAGCAATTGTGAATTCAAGAGTGTCCACTAATTTCTGACTTAAAGTAACAGAATCAGCATGTGATAAATTATGTTATGCTCATTCATATGTATATAATAGTAAGAAATTTATATAGTAGAAAAATAAAGAGTTATATGTGTAGCATTAGCAAGGTTACTTCTGCAAAGGCTTTACCCAGAAAAGTTGCTTTTAACATATAAAAGATAAAAGATCATTAGAAGGTTAACTGAAAAGGAAAGTTCATTCTGAACTAAATTTCGTGGAAAACATGGATCTGACCTTCCCTTCTCTCTTTTGAGAATTACAGACTTACCATGATTTACTCCATTGGCATATGCTCTGAATGGAACTGGTTATATTTGAATGTAAGTGTAATTATATGTAAGTACTATAATTTTATCACCATGATGCTAGAGCTATTGATTACAGATAATTGTCTGAAGTCTACAGATATGGTTGTGTAAGGCTGACAGCTAGTATAATCTGTTGGGTGTCATCTCCCTGTGCTATTGGAGGAAAATGAAATTAAATCTTAAGAACACCACCCCATTTCAATAGATATCTGAAATACAGAGGGTCATTATTTTATTGCATACTTTTCTAAGTGAGAAAATCTTAACTTGTTTCTGGAAACTGTCTGCAGAACTATAAATGTGAGAACTATTTTAGCTATTGTCTCAGTGTCTCAGATCAAATGAATGCAGTTTGCAAAAGGTATTTCTGTCTCCAAGGAAAGACATTCCTTGGCATCATTATTTCTAAGAGAGATTATACAGGGCAAATTCTGCTTCTCTTGCTTCTAAATTGTCTTCAGATTTGTCTCACAACTCTGAAGCTACAACATTCTTACTTTTCATGCAAAATGTTTATAAGTGAGTTTGTTCCTGCAGGTAGAATTCAGCTAACCAATACCTCAAAAGGCAAATCAAAGCATTTTGAAGTTTGCGGTTCTGAGTCTTTGTTTATGTTTGTTTTGCTGAAGTTTGAAATGCAAAAACCGAAATGTTAAGATCTGCACTGAAATGTCCCTCTTTCTGGGCAATTCTAAGATTCTCTTCCCAAACTAGCCAGGTTGTCCTCGAAGCTACAGCACACTGTTCTGAGAGGATGAAAAGTTTTAGAAATGTGATTTTGCTTTCAAAAGCATCAGAAAATCCTTCCTGCTGACTACTCTGTGAAAATAAAGCAGGACTTCTGAGTAAAAAACAGCCTATTTCTGTATGATTTTTCCCACTGTGTTGTAATTGTATTCAAAACTGGTGGAAACTGGAGAAAAAGAAAAAAACCTGAGGTTGAAAAGAGAGAAATTTGGAGACAAGAACTGTGGTAAGCCTCAGGATATATAAGCACAGCTCCTAATGAAATGAAAAGACAACTAAAGCCTTGTCATATCATCCCATCAAATGGGCTTCATTGACAAGATGCCTCTCTCACTAAACAGGAACTCAAATCTAGGCCCATCATAACCCCACAAAACAAGTTCTAACTCATGAGAGTAAGACAATCAAAGAGTGTCTGGGCTTCAGAAATGGCTGTTGTACCAGGGGCAATTGGTGAAAAGCTGCATACATGTGTAATACATATTTGTTCCTGTAAGTCTGCTGTCTATTAATTAAAGGGTTTGTAATTTCATTTCAACCAACATATATGGTTTCTGTTCAGTATTCCCAGTAATCTCTTAAGTGAGTGCAATGTCCAGCATTACAGTATCAGTTATATACTGCTTATGTCTCAAACAGGGCCTCTTCATGAGTGTTTCAGCAAGCAGAGCAGTTCTGGTGCCAGGCAATCTTCATAGATTATGAGTTGGAAGGGACCTATCAGGATCATTAAGTCCAACTCCTGTTCTTGTGCAGGACACCCCAAGAACCACACCATGTAGCTGAAAGCATTGTCTAAATGAGTTCTCCCTTCCGTCTCTTCTTCAGACTGAACAAACCGGGTGATCTCAGCTGCTCTTCATTCAGCTTCCCCTCAGGAACTTTCAAAATTCTCATGGCCCTCCTTTGGATGCTTTCTAATAGTTTAATATATTTTTTATTTTGTGGCACCCAAAACTGCCCCCAGGACGTGAGGCTGGCCCAGTGCAGAGCAGAGCAGAGCAGAGCAGAGCAGGACAATGCCCTCCCTTGCCTGGCTGGTGATGGTCTGACTGATGCATTCCAGGGCAGGCTTTGCCCTCCTGGCTGCCAGGGCACTGCTCAAATTCAATTTGCCATCAACCAGGACCCACAGATCCCTTTCCACAGTGCTGCTCTCCATTCTGTCATTCCCCAGTCCAGGGTTTCCCAGTCACAGGTGCAGAATCCAGTACTTGGCCTTGCTGAATGTCATATGGCTGGTGATTATCCGGTCCTCTATTTGTCTAGGTCTCTTTGTTCTCAAGGGAGCTTGTGGTTACTCCCAGTTTTGTGTCATTGGCAAACTTACTTAGTATTACTTCAGTCATGAGTCTGAGTCATTAATGAAGGTATTGAAGAGCACAGGGCAGAGGATTGAGCCCTGTGGAGCCCCACTAGTGTAAGATCACCATTCTGACGTAACCCCATTCACTGTAACCCTTTGTGCCTGATTTGTGAGCTGATTGCTTACCCATCACATGATGCATTTATCCAACTACGTGCTGGACATTTTGTCCAGAAGAATACTGTGAGAAAGAGTATGAAAAGCTTTGCTGAAGTCCAAAATCTTGTATGGACACCTCTACGTGGAGGATGAGCTCATGACCTGGATGTAGAGCCTGAGCTTTTTGCTTATCCCCTCACCACTGGTTTTGCCTCCCTGGGACTGGAGAAGAGCTGAGCGTGCAGGCTGGCCCTGGATGAGTACCTGCTGTCTTAGTCCTGTCCAGAGAGAAAAGTGCTGGAAGATTTTTTATTCTTGATTTTTCAAATTAAGATGAATTATTTGTCCTCACATTTATTATGGAGAAAAAGATTGGTGATGCTTTTGTGCCTGAGTTGGTGTGATCTTCAAGCTGTGCATAGTCAGAGCTGCCAATGTGATCATTACCTGTTCCTTTAAGATGGAGATCTCCAAGTTCTGGGCTGACTTTGTTCAGGTCCTTTGAGTGCTAGTGCAAGCAAGTAATAATGATACCATGATGATGTGTGTCTTTCAAAGTACGAAATGACCACTGCAGGTGGTGACAGTCCTAAAAACTGTAAACTGCAGCCATTAAAAGCTCACAAACATTTTAATAAGACTAGGAAATAGTAGAGCAGAAGTCCATTCCCTGGACAATGATAGCGACATGAGTAGGAAATGTACGAACCTAACCCGCTCGCTTTGCAGCCTGCAGCCTGGAGTCCTTCAGGACTCCAACTATGCAGTGAAGAAGCCAGGAATGCTTCCTTTGGGACCACAGCTAATTAGAATATCCCGAAATTCAATGTCAAAACCTGGCCAGAAGCCTTAAAGAGAAATCCCCTATTTAAGAACACGAGTAAAGTAACAGCAGAGCCACAGAGAATTTCTTCATTTGGGGAGCTTTATTATTTCAGGGGGAAGGAGGTTCTGTGGCTTCTTTTTCATTTGTTCTTTTTTAAAGAATATTAATGGGACCACAAAATTATCATTTTGTTTGGTTAAAAAGCCTGTTACTTTGAAACAAGTACAGAACAGTCTTAAAATCTTTTAATTCTCTTTGCTTTAAATTTCGATACACTGAACACTCTGACATATGCTGATGGAATAAAGCAAAAATATAGTTTGTATCTTTAATGCTGCTTTTCTCACTAATAGAGTGGCAGATTGTGGACAGGGTCATATTGTTGCCAAGTATGCCTATGTTGCAAATAATAAAATTCCAGCAAAAACAAGGGGCTGGTCATGCAGAAGAATCTAAATGTTTCATACCAATGCGGTGAATCCCTTCTGCTAGCAATTAATTGCAAGCTATTTATAAATTCTTCTACTTCTAAAATTTGTTTTGTTTATTGCAGTTGTAGGCAATACCAATTAATGCCTAAATTAAAAATCCAGAATACTACTTTCCAGCAGCATTATAGCCCACTTTCCTATGATGCTTCTATACATTTAAATTTAAGCCCCTTTTGAAATTGGTGGAAGTGTGCATTTGTTTAAGACAAAACATGTGCCTGAGTGTGTGGCTGGACATGGGCAAGGACATGACAGCAGATCAGTTGGAGGTTAGTCACATGCTTGAAAATGTTCAGGGAAGGCTTCATCACTTCAGAGCATGAGAAGTGCAAAGGTTACAAGGAGCAAATACCAGTTTAGTATTTTAGAATGGACATTTACATCAGCACTGGTATTTCCCTTAAAAAAATTCTTATTAGAGGGTTTTATCTAGATGTCTTTTTATGAGACATTAATAGAGTCTTTATAAAACCATGGGTTAGTTAAAAACTTGCCTTAGATGATGGTGTCATTACTGGTAGGCCCATGCTGCTCTTTTGGCATTCATCAGCTGGAGGCAAGTGGGCTGTCTCATGGGGAGTTGGAACTTGCAGGTTATCACTTTGATTAGCTGCTGTAGGCAACTGGTGGCTACTGTAATTGCCTCCACAAGTCTGAAATGAATATACATTCCCTCTAACAAGGAAACAGTAGGAATATATGCCTAGTGGAATCTTTAGGTTCCTATAATGCCATGGAGATCAAATTAAAAAAGGAGAGAGAGAGAACCTGTTGCAATCATACTTCATTAATTAAGCATCAATTTAGAAAATACTATGGCATTGACAGGTTTGGGAGTGGCTGTTGATACTGTTTGGCAGGGACAAATTGTCAAGTGGGTTAATGCGTAATAAGCCTTATGGAAGATAATAATGCAGTAACTGGGAGACTACCTCTTTAAAATATTGGTTTAAATTATGAGGTACAAAGTGGGCCGAATGATTTCAGTATTTTACATAGTTGTTTTAGAGTAGTTCACTCATTAGCAGACATGTAGGCAGCACTAGGAGCAGGCTGCGTTGTGAGAGGAGTGAGGAGAGGAACAGGAGGGGAGCAGAAACTTTTGCACAGCTCGAACTGTGCAGGTCTGGGGTGCAGAAAAGCAACTCAAGGATGACAGGGGGAAAATGGGAAACCAGGAGCCAGAACTGCAGCTGAGATCCAAACAGCCTCCACATTAATCTTCTTTCCCAGTTTTGATTTACATCAGCATCCTGTGTTGTTCTCCTATTTCTTTTCCTTCTTCAGAAACCTTCTTCTGCCTGTTTCTTTGGGAGATATGCCAACTGTCGGGCCTTGGCAGGAGAAAAAGTGCAGGAGCTCAGCTCCTGGCAGCTCCATCTCCTTGAAACGCTGTGGTTATGTGAGCTGAATGGGAAATGCCGGGACAAGGTGCTTCAAGAGGGGGTTGGCTGGCCAGCCCCACTGCCACTGAGACAGACAT